ATAAGATGGGGCCTTTTATGAAGGTGGTTGGATTTTGGTGAGGACTTCTCACAAATCCGATTCCACTTCTTTTGGGAACGTGACCCTTGTTTGCAAGGATCATGTTCAAGGACTTGCTACCAACCTCGAATTTCTTCAAGGTGTCCTTAAATAGCAAGTTTTCCTTTTGGAGAGTTTCTAGATCATGACACTTTATGCATGAACCTAAACTATCATGATATTCAGCTTTTAACTTATCAAAATTACAAGTAAGACTATCATGCTCCTTTTTTAGCAATTTGTATTTTCTACTAATAATCTTGCATTCATCAAATAAGTTATGGAAGGCATTTAATAATTCATCAAATGATAAATCTGCATCTATTAAATTCGTTACCTCCTCTCCGATGGCCATTAAGGCGTACAGAGCAACTTGCTCGGTGTTGGACTCATCTTCTTCGGACGCACTCGAGTCATCCCATGTTACTTTGAGCGCCTTCTTCTTTGATGTTCTCTTTTTGACTTGGGGATAATCACTCTTGTAGTGTCCCGGCTTTTTGCACTCATAGCAAATAACTTGGTCCTTCTTGGGTTCAAGTTTATTTTTTGTGTCATTCTTAAACTTGTTTCTTTTAATGAATTTTTTATATTTTCTTGTTAGAAGTGTCAAGTCATCGTCACAGTCCTCATCACTTGAGTTTTCTCTCAAGTGGTCTTCTGAAGTTCTAAGTGTCATATCCTTCCTGTTCTTTGGAAGGATGTCTTCTTGCTCTTCATGAGCTTTACAAGTCATTTCGTAGGTCATTAATGACCCGATTAGTTCTTCAAGAGGGAAGTTGTTTAGATCTTTCGCCTCTTCAAGAGGGAAACACTTTTTCCAAGTCCTTTTAGACCATTGACGACATCCGTGAAACGGGTAAACATGTCGCCAATAGTCTCACTCGGTTTCATCCAGAAAAGTTCGAAAGAATGTAACAAAAGATTGATTTTTGACTCTTTCACTCTACTTGTGCCTTCGTGAGTCACTTCGAGTGTGTGCCAAATATCAAATGTGGTTTCACAAACCGAAACACGGTTGAACTCGTTTTTATCAAGTGCACAAAATAAGGCATTCATAGCCTTTGCATTAAGAGCGAAAGCCTTCTTCTCCAATTCATTCCAATCGATCATTAGAAGAGAAGACTTCGAAAATTCATTTTCGACAAGATTCCAAAGTTCAAAATCCATAGAAATAAGAAAGATCCTCATTCGGGTCTTCCAATAGGTGTAGTCCGTCCCATTGAACATGGGTGGACGTGTAATAGAATGGCCCTCTTGGTTTCCGGCGTATACCATCTCTCTTGGATTTTAATCCGTTTGAGAGTTAACCCCGCTCTGATACCAATTGTTAGGATCAAGAGCACTAAGAGGGGGGGGTGAATTAGTGTAGCGGAAAACCTTCTACGAAAAATAAAAACTGCGTTCGTTCATTAAAAGTGATTTTGGTAAAAAAGTCGATTCGTAAATCACTTTAACTTTTGTTTAAGCAAGATGCAGCAAAGATATAAATGCAGTTTGCAGTTATGATTCTAATCAGATAGTAGGCGCAAATTGAAATATAATATTCGTATGAAAAAACTAATTTACGTCTAAATGCCAATTCAAAAAGTGCAAAGCTTGAAACCAAATCGTATATGCGCAGAAAGCAGTAAGCTTTAGAGGAGGTTTGCAGTAAGGATAATATGCTTAAAGTAAATGCAAACCGAGATTTAGAGTGGTTCGGTCAATCTTGACCTACTCCACTTTTGGCTTCCTCCACCGACGAGGTCACCGACGTCAACTAGAGGCCTTCCTTCAATAGGCGAAGGCCAACCACCCTTTTACAGTTTCACTCCTTTTGACGGGCTTAGGAGACAACCCTTACAGAATTTTCTCTCCTCTCTTTAAAGCTCAGAACTTGGAAGAAAAGAGGAAGAAGAACTTTTGGCCTTTACAATAATTTTGAGCTCTAAAAAACACAAAAAAAGATCAGGATTTCGGTGTATGTTCTGTGCCCTTTCAGTGCTGAATGGGTGGGGTATTTATAGGCCCCAACCCAGTTTGAATTTAGAGCTCAAAACTGTCAATTCCCGGAATTCTGGGATCTGGCGGTTGCACCTCCTGACTGGAGCGGTTGCACCGCTTGGGAGAGCTCGAAGACTGAGCCTCTGGGCGGTGCCACCTCTGTCAGGGGCGGTTGCACCTCCTGCCAGAGCTCGAAGACCGAGCTCAGGCGGTGCCACCTCCTGACTGAGGCGGTTGCACCTCCTGCTAAAGCTCGAAGACCGAGCTCAGGCGGTGCCACCTCTTGTCAAGGGAGGTTGCACCGCCCAATCTCGCTCGGAGACTGAGCCCAGGCGGTGCCACCTCCTGGCTGGGGCGGTTGCACCGCCCAGTCTCGCTCGGAGACTTAGCCCAAGCGGTGCCACCTCCTGGCTTGGGCGATTCAACCGCTTGGCAGAAATCAGGGTCCGAATGGGTTGATCCATTCGGCCCAATTTGGGTTTTTCAGGGGCCCAATTGCCCCAAGATTAAGTTAATGGGATCACCTCCCATTTCTAACTTAATCATTATGCTAACTACGATATTTCCTAAGACATTTACTGCAACTTGCTCCGGTGCGTCAATGGCTTCTTCCAGCGAGCTTCCGGCGAACTTCCATCGATCATCCGATGAACCCTCGGTGATGCTCCTGTGGACTTCCAGCAAACTCCTGGACTGCGACGATCCACTTGGCAAGTTCCGACGAGCTCCTTTGGCAAGCTTCTGGACTTCTCGGATTTGTTCCCGCAGAACCTCCGACGACTGTCCGAACTTCCGTCGAACTCTCGAACTCCCAACATGATCATTGTCTTGACTCCGGCGCAACTCCTGCTGCATATCTTACTTTCATCGTAGTTAATCCTACACACTTATCTCAACATATAGATTAGATAACAAATGACAATTGACTTCATCATCAAAATCCGAGATTCAACACTAGGTACTTTGCCATGGTTGGTTCCTTGGCCTCGTATCCGCCACTGGGTTGCTCGGCCACCAGCTGCGAAACGGTGAGGACGTGGATGGCGTTCACCTGCATCTCGAGGGCCAGCCTGAGTCCTGCTAGGAGTGTCTCATATTCGGCCTCGTTGTTGGTGGCTTGAAACCCGAAGCAGAGGGAACGTTTGAAGGAGCATCCGTTAGGGGCTACCAACACTAGTCCTGCGCCTGCACCCTTCGAGTCGGCTGATCCATCCACGTGTATGACCCATCCTTCTTTGAACTGCTCAAGATCCTTGTCTTCGACCTGGGTCAGTTCTGAGATGAAGTCGGCCACCGACTGAGCTTTGATGGCAGTCCTCGGTACGTATCGTATGTCGAACTCGCCGAGCTCTACCGACCACTTGAGGAGGCGGCCTGCCACATCGAACTTAGATAAAACCTGTCGGAGCGGTTGGTTCGTGATTACCTCAATCGAATGAGCTTGGAAGTAGGGGTGCAGCTTTCGAGCTGTCAATATGAGTGCCAGAGCCACCTTTTCGATTGGCGGGTATCGCTCCTTAGGCCCATTTAGGACATAGTTGATGTAGTAGACAGGTTGCTGCTCATCGGAGGCTTCTTTGGTCAGGACGAAGCTAACTGCATGCAGGGAGGCAGCCAGGTAGATACTGAGCTTCTCCTTAGGAGAGACCAAAGCAAGGCGGGGGAGGCTAGCCAGATGTTGTTTTACTCGTTCGAAGGCTTCATTACATTCCGCCGTCCATTAGAAGTTCTTTGGGTTCTTTAGGGCCCGGAAGAAGGGAAGGCAGCGATCACCCGATCAGGAAAGAAATCGAGATAGAGCGGCAAGCCTCCCGTTAAGCCGCTGCAAGTCCTTGATTGTCCGAGGGGTTTGCATACTGATGATCGCCTGGACCTTTTCCGGGTTGGCGTCGATTCCCCTCTCATGGACGATGAACCTGAGGAATCTTCCCGAGCTGACGCCAAAAGCACATTTTGCCGGGTTGAGTCGTAGGCCATATCTTCGCAACGTGGCAAACGTTTCGGCCAAGTCGGTCAAGTGGTCCGCCGTCGTATGGCTCTTCATGATCATGTCATCGATGTAGACCTCAATGTTTCATCCAATCTGTTGGGCGAACATCTTGTTCACGGTTCTCTGATACGTAGCGCCTGCATTCTTCAGCCCCAACGGCATAACCTTGTAAAAATATACCCTCTGGTCAGTGAGGAAGGCCGTGTGCTCTTGGTCCTCGGGCGCCATTCTGATCTGGTTGTAGCTGGAGAAGGCGTCCATAAATGAAAGGCGAGCATGCCCGGCAGTCGCATCGACCAACTGGTCGATCCTTAGGAGGGGGTAGCAGTCTTTCGGGCATGCACGATTGAGACTGGTGTAGTCAACACACATTCTCCGGCTCCCATTAGATTTCTTCACAAGGACTACACTGGACAGCCATCGTAGGTATTTGACTTCTTCTATGAAGCCTGCTGCCAAAAGCCACTCCACCTCTTCATGGATAGCTAGTTGTTTGTCGAGAGCTTGACGTCGAGGCTTCTGCTTCACCGGTCGGGCATCGGGCAAAATGTTCAGGTAATGTTGGGCAGTCTTTGGGTCGACGCCCGTCATGTCGGATGGTGACCAAGCGAAGACATCGGCGTTCTCCTGTAGGAAGCCGACAAGCTGATCCCGTTCTCGCTTGTAGAGTTCAGACCCGATTTTGACCGTCCAGTCTAGGCATCCTTTCAGTAGTGGTACGTCACAAGTGGGCTCCGATGGCTCGGGATGCTGGGTCGGTCTCTTTGTTTCCTGGGGATCCCCGAGGGGTTGCTCATCCCTTGCCCTTTTGTGCAGTGAGACCGCCATCAAGTAGCACCGCCTAGACTCTTGGGGGCTTCCCCAGGCTTCGTCGACCCCAGCATGGGTCGGGAACTTCACCTTTTTGGTGGTAAGTGGAGACAACGGCTCTGACTTTGTTGAGGGTCGGGCAACCAAGGATGGCGTTGTACGCAGTGGGGAGGTCAACCACTAAGAATGTGGACATCACTGTCTTCGATCTTAGTGGCACTCCCAAGGTTAGGGGCAAAGTGACCGCTCCCGATGGCGAAATCGAATTACCGGTGAACTCGGTGAGCGCCAAGGTCATCGGCTCCAAAGCTTCTCTAGCTAACCCAAGCTTCTGGAAGGCATCGAAATAAAGTACATCAGCCGAGCTCCCTGTGTCGATCATGATCCTCCTTACTTGAGCATTGGCAATCCTGGCCGTTATGACAAGTGCATCGTCGTTTTTGGATCGCCCGGCCCCTTTGGCAGGAAACGTGACCTCGGGGTCGGGTCCACGTCTGGTAACCTCGGCCGCTGCGGCCCAGGCGTATGCCTTCCGTCCAGACATACTGTTCCCCCCGATAGCTGGGCCGCCAGTGATCACATTGATCTGATGCTCGACGGGACCCTCTAGGTGGGGGGAAAGCTCCTTGCCTTGCTGGAGGTACCGACCAAGGTGCCCTTTGCGGATGAGCTCCTCAATCTGTTACTTCAATTCGCGACACTCCTCAGTGTCGTGCCCGCTTTTCTGATGGAAACGGCAATACTTCGACTGATCCGTGAGTTCCCACGGATTTCTCATCGGGTTGGGGGTTCTGAGCAACCCTTTGTCTCTTATCTGTAGAAATATATTTGTTCAGGACGCACCCGAGGAGGGGAGTTGAGATGTCAATGCCGGCGGGTCGGGGCGGTCCAATCTGTGCCTCGGTGCGGCAGACTATTGTTGAATCTCGTATTTTGATGATGAAACTCCTTGATATATGTTTATGATTTAATCTGTGTTTTGAGTGACGCAGGGTGCTTCGATTAGGAAGAGACAATTAAAGCAGGAACATCATGTTGTGCCGGAGGAACATGTCAGAAGATTGGACGTCGGGCCGGTGGATCGGTTGACGTATCGACAGAAGGCTTCGGGTCGTGGACTCGGGCATCGGGCCAAGAAGAGCGGGTATTGTGCCAAGGATATCGGAGTTGCGGAGTCAACTGGCCGATTGGGCAATAGGCTGCAAGAAAGGACAATGCGCCGAAGAATCGGACGAAGCGTCGAGGGACCAATGACATGCCGGACAACTTGGTTAATTGCTTAGGATTAATTGTCTCGATCGAAGTTTTTATTTTTGTGTGTGTAGGATTAACTACAATGAAAGTAAGACATGCACCAGGAGTTGCGCCGGAGTCAAGTTCATGAACACGTTGGGAGTTCGAGAGTTCGACGGAAGTTCGGACGGTCGTCGGAGGTTCTGCGAGAACAGATCCGAGAAGTCCAGAAGCTTGCCAAGCGAAGCTCGTCAGAACTCGCCAAGTGGATCATCGCAAAGTCCAGGAGTTTGCCGGATGTAA